AAAACTCGCGCACGACTACATAAATGCTGTGCTTCGCACCGCATTAATAAGAACTATTAAATAAATCGCAATTGAGAAATTGTATCTGCTATGTATAATTAGAACAAAATTTCTACACAGACTATCAAGATATTTGAAACTAAATCATAATAAAATAATCAAATAGTTTTTTATATGAATTTTGGCGCTTGATAAATTTATTGATCGTATAATTTCATTAAAAATAACATAATTATCATAGTTTGTAACAGTGTATGGGTCAAGATATTAGTCAAATTGATTCAAATGAAATCCAAAAAATGTTACAAAAATTCGGCAAACTTGATGAAGATAAAAGTGGTGCATTATCAGCAAAAGAATTTATGCAAATACCTGAACTAGCATCAAATCCACTAGTCGAACGTGTCATCGATATATTTGACAGTGATGGAAATGGCGAGGTCTTTTCTATTAAAAAAAAAAAAAAAAAAAAATCTTCTTAATATACATATGTAAATATATTATATCTTTACTTTTAATAGGTTGATTTTACTGAATTTATTCGTGGTTAGTTTCCATTTAAGATCGATTTTCTTTTTGTCCATCTATTTTATATTTGAAATTAGGTATGAATAGTTTTGCTTCAAAAGGCGATACACAATATAAATTACGATTTGCTTTTAATATTTATGATATTGGTAAGAGTATAGATATGTAGAAAATCGTACAATATTCATTGAAACAAAATAAAAAAAAATTATATAAGTTTAAAAACATATAACTCTGATGAATTACATGAAAAGAATTTCAATGATAATTTGAATTGACAGATGGTGCAAAAGTTTTGTATTTATTTCATTTTTATAGCATGAGAACAATTTGTCATCAAGACACTTAATACTTTCTGGTTAGAAAGAACAAAGTCTCTACTACACATTAATATACAAATATTTGATTGAAAATACTTTAAAAATATTCAAGAACATATTTAATTGAAAAAAAAGTTCTCTGCATGCTTCTGAACTTTAGAATAAAGACTCTATCTACTGAAAAATTTGGTCTTATCGTACGTCTTTTATTGACTTTTGTAGCAATACGATCGAGTATGGTAAACAGGTCAAAATAATATTTGTAAGACAAAAAAAGATTTTTTTTTTCAGCCATCGAAGTTACTGAAACTCCATATTTGATGTTTAATTAGAAATTAATGAGCCTTATAAAAGAACACAATCTTAGATAATGTCGAGAAGAAAAATCTAGCTTTTTAATAAAACTATCTCCTATCGAGTCTGTGACTCTTTCTAACAAGAAAATTATCGAATCTCTACAACGAGTTATTGTAACATCACATCGAAAATAAAATTGATGTAAAAATTTAAATCAATTAAATAAAAAAGAAAAAATTGAGTGAAATATAAATCTAAATCTATCGAATTATTTATATAAATTGTTATTCTAGATAAAGATGGTTATATAACAAATGCTGAATTATTTCATGTATTAAAAATGATGGTTGGTAATAATCTATTAGATGATCAATTACAACAAGTAGTTGATAAAACAATAATTTATTCGGATAAAGATGGTGATCAACGTATATCATTTAAAGAATTTTGTGATGCTATTGGACCGAGTCTTCGTGAAGATATTATTAATCATTTAAATAAAATTACAAGTGATGATCGATAAAATAAAAATGAGAATTTTTTTTTTTTGTTTTAAATTTATTTTCTTAATTTATTTCATTTAATATATTTTGAAGTGCTTCTATATAATCAATAGCTTTACGAAGTGTACAAACTTTTGATATACGAGTAGAATTTAATTGATTTTTATTATTATTTATATTAAATGGTAGAAGTGCTTGAAGTATTAGAAATGCTTGATTAACATTGTGTACACGTTTTCGTTCACGTCTATTACGTTTTTCAACAATATGTTTAGGTCGTAAATAATGTGGAATATGTTTTGATCGATGTATTGGTTTTGTATTTGAATCTATAGAAATTGTCATTGGTTCTTTTGATATTGAATAAGAATTTGAATTATAATTTATATTCGATGTTTCATATTGATTTTCATCATTAGCATTAAATGATGAATAATAAGAAAGCATACAATATGGTTCATATGTCATTGAGTGAATGTAATATTAGCCAAAAAAAGAAAAAGGGATCAAGAAATGAATAGATAAAAGAAAAAGAATTCGTGCAGACATTATAAACGATAAATATTCCCGGATGTATATATGACTTCTCAGGCAAAAAAAATTATCTTTGATTTTAATGAATAAAAATAAGAAAAGATTTTTATTTTCTATTAAAATTGATATTTTAATTTGAAATAATTGTTATTCTTTTATTGTTGAGTAAAATAATTACCTTTTTTTTTTATTATGATTTAATATTTTTATAGAAGAAAAACTATTGACTATCGAAGAAATGTTTTCATTCAATTTTAATAATACAATAGAATCATTTCGAAATAGTAATTATACTTTTATTTAGTTATTCATTTGTTTAATTACAGTGAGTACTATGAAATCTTATACTTTTTCAATTTAGAATTAAAAAACAAAAAGAGAATGTTCATTGAATAATTATTTTGACATAGAAACTATTTATATACTCAATCTAAAATTCTATTTATTTTCATATCAAAATATTCAAGTTACTAAAGCTCATTAACTTCAATTTTATGAAACATGATATAAGAAAAACTTTTGAAGTATAATACAAGTAAAATTCAGCAGGATTAAATAAAAGAATTGTGAAGACATATGTTCCAAAATAGATAACATAAACTAATCTCACTTGGATTATGCTAATAGGCTTTTTTTGTATTATGACAAGTTGACCTATTAAAATTTAATTAAAGATTATAAATCTAATATTTGGTTCAAAATTTAGTTTCAACTCGACAGTGTTTTATTCAATCTTAAATGAAACACTCGTATACAAAAACATGTATTAGTTTAATTTTCTAAGACTTTTAATCTATATAAAAAGCTTTAGATAATCAATAACTATTGAACATGTTTTATATTTTTGTAATGACAGATGGTGTAAACAATAATTCATTATACATGTCATAGTTCCTCCTAGAATAGAATAGGACGAAAAAAGAATCATCCCACAGGATATTCGCTATATCTCATGAGATAAGATGTTTTCAAAAAAGTTGCCTCCCATGGGATAGAATCATTTCATCTCACACGAAACCCTGATACATATATATATATATGAGTTTCTCTTGACTAAAATTATTCATAATTCCTGTATTAAATAAAAAATGTCATGTTACTTTTCCTATCTTTGTTTAATGATATGAGTTAATGTTTGTCATGTTAAATAATTTGTCATTAACATCTTTATTTTTTTTATCGCTGTTCTTTTTTTTTTTTTTGAAATGACGTATTTAACTTAAATGATAAAAACAAAACCACTTAAGGTTGTACTTTAACACATTGTATCAAATTCAATATGACACAATTAATGTTATCTTTTCTATTTTCTTTTCATCTGTCATCTTCATACAACAATATACGATTAAATAGACGTTAGTTTTACGAAAATGTGTGTTTCTTGTTTAGTATATAAAGTGACTTTCTTTGTTTTATTTTTATATATATGTCAGTGCAGAAAATTGCTTTTCTTTTTTTAGATATTTATATGACATGTTTTCATATTCGAAGAGATCAACGTAGAAAACTATAATAAAGTTGATGATGACATAGAGCAACTCAATAGAATTTTACTTTATATACTTTTTGCGTTGATAAATTTTAATTTTATTTGATATGATGAGAATTTATTTTATATCTATATCTATATATAGATTTATGCATATAGAACAAACTAGCCTTTTTTTCTTTCTTTTTTTTTCTCTCTCTCTCTTTCTGCTAGTCATTTTATATGAAATAGCCTGCTAGACATGCATTCATTTATTCATCTATTCATTGTTTCGAGGTCACGGTCACAACAAGATCATATTTATGAAAGATTGTCTATATGCGATCTATACATTTTTGCCCACATTGTTTTATTCATTCCTAATTCTAATCTTTTTTTGTTTTAGTAAAGAGATAAAAACATCTTCGTGAAAATTCTTTCTTTGTTTTATTTTTTTTTGAGTGTAGATTACTCATTGTAATGACGTCAAATATGAGTAAAGAAAATAGCATTAATAATATTATTTCTTCTGTTGCCGTTTTTTTTTTGTCGTTCTTCCATACCTTATTTCACTCACATAGACATGCATACGACTATGCTTTAGTTTGTTATTTTTTTTTTTTTTTTTTTTTTATGTGTTATTTTCTTGAGGAAGGAAAGTTAAAACATCACGTTTTGTTGTTTTTTTTTTGGCTTCTTCTTTTTGAACTTATTAAATATATGATTTCAGAGTGTTAAGTTAAATAATAATAATATTGAACAAATGGCAACAACAGCATCATCATATAAAGAAGAAATGCATCCATTTGCAACGGAAAGTAAGATTTTCTTTGTTTTTTTTCAAGGTCATCAGGGTCTTAGTAAAAAAACGTTTTATCTTAAAAAAAAAGGAGGTACTCTTCCAACAACTGCAACAGGTATTCGAGTAACAAATGCAGGATGTAATTATAAATAATACAAAAATTTATTTAAAATTAAAATTTTATATTATTTTTAGTAGTTGGTGATCCTCGTCAATCACCTAATGAAGGTATTGGTGCATGTGGATGGATATTAGTTGTTTTATCATATATATTGATTGTTATGACATTTCCGTTTTCATTATGTCTTTGTATCAAGGTTTGTTTTTCAATAATTAGACTTAAAATGAATTTTTTGTTGTATATTTAGGTTGTACAAGAATATGAACGAGCTGTTATTCTTCGTCTTGGTCGTCTTTTACCAGGTATGATAAGAACTAATAGATAAAATTTTGTTATAGAATTTATAAAATAGAAATATATTTTTTGTTTTTTTTTTTTCTAATAATTTCTATGATTAATCTGTTTAGAATCAATTGTCAAATGAGTAAAGATGAATGTGAGAATAAAAAAGAAAATCTTTGACATTTTGAGGCTTTTGTTATTAGAAAGCACGCAATCAATATGATAGAATGTTTAAGATCTACTTTCAATAATAAACAAGAGTTAATAATCGATATGAATTTTAATAGAATGATTTCATTTTTTGAAAATTTTGTAATTCATTTTAAATTTCAAGAGTTCATTTAGAATATCTATAGAAAGAATTTTGAAAAAAAAAAATATAACGCCAAATATGAATTTTCCAAAAAATAATTTTTTAAAAAAAAAAAGAAATATCTATAGAATTGATTCAGTTTGAAATCGTTCATGATATAAAAAAAACTAAAAATAACTTCTATATATTAATGTCCTATGGGACAAACACGTTAGTTTTTAGAACTTTGAGACTGTCTCAAAGGACTTCACTATACACATTAGTCGAAAGAAGTTTTGCTATTGAATATAAAGATATAAACTTCAATCTTTTTGACTTGATTGTTTGACTATAAATAGAACATCATAATCAACAACTCGCTCTATACAAAGGATTTACGATGAAAACACTGAGGTTTTTTTTAAAAAACAAATTCTTCATTATCTGATTAACAAAGAAAGGTTATTTTAATCTGCTGTAATCTTGAGTTGTAGATTTCGATGAGTTCTATTAATTATCATGTCAAGATTAATAGATAAATTAAAACTCTTAGACATGGAACCCTTATTAATGCTAGAAGCATCTTATATTATCAGATTTATTTTCTATGTTGAAATATTCTCGTCTGAATATAACACATTTATGTTGACCTTCTGACATTTACTTCTTGCGTTTACAGTTCAATATGTTCTATTTATGGTTAGATATGATATATTGAATTATTTTCTAGGTGGTGCTAAAGGTCCCGGTTTATTTTTTATTTTACCTTGTGCTGATACAATCATTAAAGTTGATTTACGAACGGCAACATTTAATGTTCCACCTCAAGAAGTAAGTCTCTTTTTTTTTTTGTTTTAATTATCTTTATCAATAAATATTTGATTATTATTAGGTATTAACACGTGATTCAGTAACAGTTTCAGTTGATGCTGTTGTTTATAGTCGTGTTTTTAATCCGGTAAATTTAATCTAAAAAAAATAAACATAAATAATAGAAAAAAAAAATTTTTTTTTATAGGTTATTAGTGTAACAAATGTTAAAAATACTCAATATGCAACACAATTACTTGCTCAAACAACATTACGAAATATTCTTGGTACAAAAACACTTCAAGAAATTTTAAGTGAACGAGAAACAATAGCAACTAGTATGCAAGCTCATCTTGATGAAGGAACTGATCCATGGGGTGTTAAAGTTGAACGTGTTGAAATGTAATTATACATTATTTTGTGAAAAAAAAAATATATTTATAATATTAAAATTTTTGATTTTATTTTATTTTTATAGTAAAGATGTACGTTTACCACAATCAATGCAACGATCAATGGCTGCTGAAGCTGAAGCAAGTCGTGAAGCTCGTGCTAAAGTTATTGCTGCTGAAGGTGAACAAAAAGCATCAAGACAATTAAAAGAAGCAGCTGATGTTATTGCTGAATCACCAATTGCTTTACAATTACGTTATTTACAAACTTTAACACAAATATCAGCTGAGAAAAATTCAACAATTGTTTTTCCTATTCCTGGTTAGTTATATTTTTCATTTTTTTGTTTTTTGAATTTAATTCTATTGTTTTTGTTTTATTTTTAGTTGAATTGCTCAGTTTAGTAAAACGTTAAATAAGAACAAAATTTTAATCAACATCTAACGAAAAAAAGAAAAGACTTTATATACATATATGTTGTTTTTTAAACTTTTTGCTTAATATAATCTTTGGTTTATTTCATATTATCAAATTGATCGTTTTTATTCATTATACTTTAATACATATACTCTATTATGGTTGATGATTGCATGATTGTTTTCTTTTTTTTGATTGATAATAGCAAAATATTGATAGTTAATAAAGTACAAAATGTTTTAAAAGTATGATTGGAAAAAAATATATATAAATTGTTGTTTAACAATTCAAAAAATTTACATATATTGTTTTGTACAGTTTGATCGTAACTTTATTGAAGATTTAGAATGTTTGTATCAGAGATGGACAAGTCAGGGGTTTTTAAGGTTCAAGTCAAATCTGACTTGACTTGACTTGCCCATCTCTGGTTTGTATCAATCAGAAGTATAAATTGCTGGACAAGTTTAAAAGTCACACACTGATAGAACATTGTATTAGAATCATATTGCAAAACTCGAACTATCGGAAATTGATCTTGTTAAGAAAAATGTAGAGTATTTATTAGATAGGGCGGCTTTTGAACTAATTGTATTTTGTAATTAGGACTGAACACTTGATTCTTGTTCATTTTCATATGTACTATTAACTTTTTCTTCAATGAGTACTCGATGTTTTCCTGAACATGATCAATTTTTGATAGTTTTAGTTTCATGCATTTTTTGGAATTTGATGTTTTGTTGTTTGATCAAATTCTTAGAACACTCGGTATGATTGATATTTAAGGAATGAACATATTGATACATTGAATTGTTAACAATATTATAATTTTTCAATATTATTCATCTAGATATTTACTAAACAAACCTTTTTTTTTTAGAAATAAAATACATTAACTGATCCAGTTATCATAATGACATAGTTTGATAACATGAGCATGGAGTTCTTTCAAAGATCAGTTTATTATATCTTGTACTATGTTTCTATGCTCTCAAGGCTAAGTGTTCGCCCTTCCGGAAGAAAAAAAAAACTAGATAAAACACGAGTTCACTTGTTATAAAATAAAGAACGAATTGAAGTTCTTTTATAATTTCCTTAGTAAATGGTGTACTATTTCACTTGAATCTACTTCATATTCAAGAGCACATAAAATAATATATGATATATTAATTTTGAAAATCTTCTTGTCCAATTATATCGATAAAACAAAAGTGCTAGAGGGAAAAATAGAGTCATGCCCTAGTAATTTTTCTTGATTTCCAATCCTGTAAAAGCATGTTCGGAATCAGAGATGAATAGATCGGCAATAAAGGCTATAAAATTTATGTTATTGCTTTTTCTTATTCGATAGCGACTGAAAGTTTTGATAGATTTAAAAATTTTCTATTCAAACAATTTTTCCGATAAAGAACAAACTGATAGAAAAATAGACAAGAAAATATTTGCCAATTAATGATCTTCGACATCGACAATTTTTTCAAATCTACTGTGTATTTTGTTTCATTTGTGGTGACTTAGACAATCAACTCATATTTCTAGCCGGAAGGTATTGGGAATTCCGATTCTTGTGTTTTTTGTTTAATGTTTGAAGGAAAATATGAATACCATATACGAATAATGTCTAGTGATGTTACAGTTTGTGTCATGTAATAGGACTTTAAATTAAAATAAAACTAATTTGAAAAATAAAGTTTTTTTTGAAGCATTTCGAATGAATTATATCTTTCAAGAAGTTAAACCTTATATATCGATCTTGTTCACATTAAAATTGAATCGAACTATAGTAGATTGTTTCAATATTCGACAAAAAAACAAAAGGGAATCCATGACAATTGATTCATTCGTATAATATTATTTTCACTTCATTACAATTGTTTTATTCTTGTTGTTGACGACAGGAATCAATTAAAATGCTCTGCACAACATATAAAATATATCTTCTAAAGTTTGCTCTATCTTCAAAAAAAAAAATTTTTTTCTTTTTAAATATTCTGAAAATAATAAAAAGAAAAGGAATAACTTATAAGTTTTTTGAATAAATAATTTACAAGTAATCAGTAGTCTCGATTACCAAACAATTCAATACCATGGTTTTAACTTTTGAAATGATTGAATATGTTTATTATCAAAAGGAGATGCAATTCATCTGATTGAGTTCTTGTTTTTTTTTTATCATAAACTATTTCAATCCAATAAAACTAACAATCATCCAGATTAGTTCAAATTTCTTTACTAAAACTAAAATTTCTCAATTTTTATATCTCATTGATTAGTAATTTTTATTTTTCTTGATTTAAATCTTCTTAAATCATATTTTGTTTTGTTTTATAAACACAAGTTTAATTAATGGATATCTATAAAAAAAAGAATAAAAAAATAGCGTAGTTACTCACCAACAAAAGTTTCCTATCAATATTACATTTATAGAAAGAAAGAAAAATAGTTGAAATTAAAATTTTCTTTTTTTTTCTCACTAATGTCTTCTAACAAAAGAAGTGTGGTATAATGTAACCAAGGTAAAAGAAACTTTCTATGTATTCATCAACAAACATTTATAGATTCGATGATGTTACTCTTCTATTTCTATTCTATATAGATCTTAGAACTATATTATAGAGAAAAACTTTTAATGAATCTTTTTATTGACTTTTAACTATGAGAAAAATTATGATTACTTTATATATAAATATTAAGAATAAAATGTTCTTGAAAAAAAAAAGTTTAAGACAAGAGTGCCGAAATTTTTCAGTAAGATTTTTCATATTAATTAACACATTTTTTTTCTCTGAAATTAAACATATAAAAAGAAATTAAATGATCGTATGGTTCTGGATTTTTATTCAAATGACAAGTTCCAGTTTACGTCAGCAATATAACAAATATAAAGAATCCTTCAATAATTAATTCTTTTTTTTGTTTGTATTCGATTACTATGTTGAGCAGATTTTGATAGATGTATCGACGTCATTACTACTACTGTATACTTATTTGCGTCAATCGAGAAAAAAGACAATCTTCATAGAAACCAAATATTAAAATTCTATATAAAAAAAGAAAAAAAAATCATTTTTTTTTCTTTTACACAATATAGTTCAAATAATAACATGGCAACAACAACGTCATTTAAACATGAAGTTCAAGCATTAAATAACGGAAGTTAGTATCATAATAATAATAAAAAAAAAAAAAAGAAGCAGAATTTAATCTATATTATTTTAAGATCGTATTCATCCAACAAACATGACAATGGCATCTGATCAAGCAACAAATATTCATGGTATGTAATAAATTAAAGTTTTTAATAGATTAATAGTATTTTTATATTTAGTTAATGATGATTCAAATGAAAGTGATTTTGATACATGTGGATGGATATTAATTATTTTTTCGTATATTCTTGTTATTATTACATTTCCAATTACATTATGTTTTAGTATTAATGTTTGTAAAAATTATTTATTTAAATATAATTAATAAAATAATTCTATTTTTAGGTTGTTCAAGAATATCAACGTGCTGTGATTTTTCGTCTTGGACGTATTTTACCAGGTTTGTTTTTTGATTGAGAGATTGTATTTTTTTTTTATTGATTATTATCATTAATTATTATTTTAGGTGGTGCTAAAGGTCCTGGTCTATTTTTTGTTTTACCTTGTGTTGATACAATCACTAAAGTTGATTTACGAACAACAACATTCAATGTTCCACCTCAAGAAGTAAGTTTCTTTATCTATAGTATATATATGTAATAGGACAGTTTTCATGAAAGATGTTGATGATTTGGTGAGAGGTTGTTATCTAAAAATTTACAGCGGCTGACTACGTTTCAAATATGATATTGAGAAAGAAAAATAATAGACAGTTAAAATGAGTATTATTGTTTTTTTATCGTACAATAGATACATTATATTATACTCAATACGCTTTTACGAACATTTACTTACTAAATATGGATTCATTGTTTTTCTTATACGAACTCTGTAAGAAGAAAAAAAACTTGACTATTTCAGATTGTTATATATCCAATTCAACATTTAGTAATGAAATTTTCTATAGATATAATATAGACATTTACTGTACGATTGATTCAAACTGTCTATTAAAAATTAACTTAATACGAAAGTTATATTAAGAAATTCAATATTGTTTTTTTTTACATTTTTTGATTAGATTTTAACACGTGATTCAGTGACAGTTGCAGTTGATGCTGTTATTTATAGTCGTGTTGTTGATCCGGTAAGAGATATCTCTCTTTTTTTTTTCATAGATTTCAATAAATAATAATATTTTTAATTAGGTTGCTTCAGTAACTAAAGTAAATAATGTTTCTTCTGCAACTCAATTATTAGCTCAAACATCATTACGAAATATTCTTGGTACAAAAACACTTCAAGAAATTTTAAGTGAACGAGAAGCAATAGCTGATCAAATGGAAGTTCAATTAGATGCAGGTACTACATCATGGGGTATTAAAGTTGAACGTGTTGAAATGTATGTTTATGTTAAAAATATTATAATTGAATATTTCTCCTATGGTTATTGTTGTTGTTGTTGTTTTCTTTTTTAAATTTTAGTACGGATGTACGTTTACCTCAATCAATGCAACGATCAATGGCTGCTGAAGCTGAAGCAAGTCGTGAAGCTCGTGCTAAAGTTATTGCTGCTGAAGGTGAACAAAAAGCATCAAGACAATTAAAAGAAGCAGCTGATGTTATTGCTGAATCACCAATTGCTTTACAATTACGTTATTTACAAACTTTAGCACAAATATCAGCTGAGAAAAATTCAACAATCGTTTTTCCTATTCCTGGTAAGTTTTCTTTTTTTGTGATAATGATTAAGTACTAGAGCTTTTATTTTTTTTTTTAAATACTATTTTCTTTATTTTAGTCGAATTTCTTAGTTTCATTAAACATGGACGTTAAACAAACTCTTCTAAACGATATTCGATTGATGAAATAATAAAACAATTTTTATCTTTATCATTTATTTAAATTTTAATGTATTGTTCTGTCAGTGTTGTCGTGTGAGATTGTTGTTTTAATATACATATATGTATCAAAAATTGATAAAATATCGACCGATATAGAATTTCAAAAAAATGGAATCTTTCTTAATGGATCTTCGAATTAAACATTTTTTCTGAAAAACAAAGTTACGTACAAAAATAAACTTTCTATATAAAAGTCGTTCAGCTTTTAATAAGTATAACTACATGGTATAATAAACTGAAAATAGTGTTCAATACAGAATTTAGATCAAGATGAAAGCAAAATGTCAAAAACAAACAAATTTTCGTCGTAAGAAAATAAAATTATGTTAAGTAGAGCAGCAATAGAACTGATTGCGAAAACTTCCGATTGTTTTCAACTCTATGATAGAAGTTGTTGAGTTCTATGTGAAGACGTTCTTTCTTATTCTATTTTTCAGATGTCTAGTATTCCTACGAAGAGTCATATATTGAAAAAGTACTTCGTATTGAATCAATTAATAACCAAGTGACAAATTTCTTTCTTTTTTCTGTTGATCGATGTTTGTTTGGCGATATATTTCATTAACATTTTTTTTGAATTGTCTATACACTAATAAAGATTCTATGTGTACCCAGAGTACTCAATACTGCTCATTGATTAGAAACATTTGTATGTCAAATTGGTATCGATCGTTTTCTTTTCAATGATAGACATAACTTTCTTCACTTTTAAGGTCGAATCCTTTCTATGTATGGGTCAACAATGATTGGCTATGCCATTATAACATCTTGAGAAAGATAATTTTTAAGGTTTCGAACAATCATTAGACTTCATGTTGAACAATATTTGAAACATATCGATTGAAACTTATTTAATAATCATAAATTTTCTTTTTTCTGTTTCGAATACTCAAGTATAATCAATAAAAACACTTGCTTTTATAACTACTTTATTTCCTATATTTACAAATATGGTTTTTTTTTTGAAAATATATCAGTCTATGAAGATCAAATCAAACAATGTTTTTTGTCCTTAATTTCATCATTGGAATATATATTATTCCAAAATAAATACACCGGTTATAATAATTGTCTCATATTAATTTAATTATTTCATATCAGATGAATTTGTTAAAAGTAAATATTCACTTGCCATTGTACCAAAACTTGATGTATCATTTATTCCTGTTGGTAATATTGTTTGTGGTGATTCATATGAAATAGTACTAATTAATGTTGGACATAAACTCTCAACACTTAATGTTGAATGACGTGTTTGATTTGATTGTTGAAATGATGAATTATTTTTTGTTGTGAGATTTTCACATGAAGCTGTTAGATTACGTTTAATATATGCTGCCATGAATGCTCGTTGTTGCTCTTTTGTTAGAGACAAACATTTAAATGTCATTTTATTAATCTATCAAAAGAAAAAGCCGCTTTGTTTTTTTTTTATGAATTCTAATCTACATAAATACTTACGTTATTCAAATGATCTTTATTATTTATATTAGTTTGATTATGATAAAAAAGTTGTTCATATAGAAATGGTCCAATAAATGTATAAACAAAAAATAATGTCCCATAAGCAAGTATATAACTATTATTCATATAAAATGTATAGGATAATTTTAATGGAATAAATAAATAAAAACAAATCCATATTATTGTAATACATAAAGCTAAAAGACTTGTTAATAAATAAATTAAATCATTTTTTTTATTATTTATATGATATCGTATACTTGATTGAAATGAATAAAGAAATAAAAGAAAAAAATTAAATGATAATGAACAAAGAAATAATGGTCGACGACATTCATCTGTACATTGTTCAAGTTTTTCTTGATAATTATAATTATAATAAAACCAAACAAGAAGAATAGCTGTTTGAATTAAAATAGCAAGAAAAAAAATTAAAAATGAACTTATTGCTATGAGAAAAGTTTTTCGAATTGGACCTGCTATTTTTAATAACCATTCATAAATAAAATGTATATTAAAACCAAGTAAAAGACAAAATGGTAAAATTTGTAATGCTAATGTTTGAGTTGAACATATTATATTAATTGATGTTGATGATCGAAATAGAAATGTTATTGGTGATATTAATAATAATAAAAGTGATAATTGTGAAAAATATATATAAACATTCGATGATGATAAATAATGATTTCGTATAAAAGTAATTATATATGCTATATAAAGAATAAGACCAATAGATACAGAACCAATAAGACCATATGATGGAAAATCACTCATAAATAATGATAATGAACTATTAATACAAGCCATTTATTGAATAAATGAAAAACACAATATATATCTAAGAAACAAGAAAAAAAAAATTTATATTCAATATCAATCGATAATTGCTGCTTGAATATTTCATATATTCTCATATCTCAAGTTACCGAATTTAATATATGTATATGCATGTTTAGTCAAATATAAATATATATACTGTCACATTATCAACCGAATCGTTATGTATAGTTATAGAGAAGCTAGCTTACTAATGACACTTGAAAATAGTTCAACTGTCGGTATGTGTGTTCTTATTTGTTCTCTTTCTTTCTTTCTTTTTCTCTTGTTCGTTCGACATTTTGTCTGTATGCTCTCCTAACGGATCTTTCTTTTTTCCTGCGTCTATCTTTTATGTATTGCATAGTCGCCCACGGACACCGACGTTGTCACTGTCTACAACGATAACGCAACCATAGGACAATCATAAAAAAATCGAACATTTATACATTTTGGTCCCCTTTCGCTCTTTAGTTGACGTAACTATATCATTTTACTCAGTCTTTCTTTCTCCGTTTCTTTATTCATTTTACAAAAGAAAAAAAAATAAAATTTTTTCTTTTTTTTCATTTATTCTTTACTTAACAAAATCTCATTGTAAAAACTAAATTTACAGATGTATTAGATTATTAGTTTTTTTTTTTATTTTGAAATAATAAATATTTTTTTTTTATTGTCTCTTTTTACAAAAGATCTTCACATTTAAGAATCTTCTTGTTGTTTGTATATCATTAAATCTTTCACTGTTTTATTTTTTTTGTCTCTTTTGAATTGTTTCCTCATTGAAATGAATCCTTTCTCTTCAATATGAACGATTAACAAATCGAACACATAAGAAACGAAAAGAATGTGTATAGTAACCTTGGGTGTAAAAACTTATAACAATGGGCTAATTGTTGAGAACATAAACAAGGATGTATTTATCATTAGATGAATTGTATGTCAGCCATTTTAACATAGATATTAGAAAAAAAAAAAAAAAAATTTATAAAATGAAAGCTATGTGAAAAATGTGAGTATTTATTATGATGAAACGTATCTCGTTTATTTCATTTGACAAATGAACTTTAATTATATTTTTGACCATGAGAATATTTGTTTAATTTAAGTAATTATCGTTTTCAAAAGTTAATGATCAAATAACAAACTAAATAGACTATAGATCATAATGTTGATTTATCATTAGAATTTAAAAAAAAAAAAAAAAAAAGATTAGATTAATATGATTTTATTTGATGATAAAAAGAAAAAGAATCATATTTCTTTTCTTTTCTTTTTTTTTTATAATCATTCAATATAAATAAAATGCAAATTACTGAATAATCGTAATTTCTTTTTTATTTGACTCCTTTCAATTAAATGAACTAATTTGATTTTAATACCATATGAACAATATATAGAAAAAAGAAAAAATCCGAGTTTTTAATTTACCACATAAATTTTTCTATTACATGAAATATGGATCAATATTTCACATAAATGAAAATAAATTATACTTAAATTCATTTCAACGACAAGTCTTTGAACAAATATTATACTGATAATGCCATATAATCGTAAGAAAAAGCAATAATACGTAATTGATATGTCATAATACATAAATGTCGTTCAAGTAGTCTCAAGCACATATCAACCGATAAAGCAAAGTGTTTTATATGGAATTGAAGAATGAATGTGCTCTTTTTTTTTATGTACGAAGAAACATTATTTATTTTCACAAATTGTATTCGAATAAAATAAATAAATTACTATAAATAAATCTTATATTTGTATTATTGTTTCAAATTATTAATTAAATTGACAATTCATACGAAAGAGTACAATTAGAAAAAGAATACTTCGAAAAAATAAGCTAATTTGTATATGCTTTGGATGTTGATGAAACATTTTACATTTAGTTAGTTCACTTTTTTATTCTGTTTATATCTGAATAAACTACATATATATATATATATCAGTATCATTATCAAAAAAAAAAAATTCCACAAAGTGTTAAAACTGATATACGCATTTGACTAAAAGAACCTGAATATCTATATGTTTAATTTTGATAAGAACAATCTTGATGAAGTATACAATTTTAAACAAAACTGATGTTTTTACTTTGTTCAGATTATATGTTTGTAGTCACGTATTGATAGATTACTGTTATTAAATGATTATATACAATTGAAGCACGAATAAAAACTATAATTAATGATTGTATCAAGATACTGTCTCAATCGGCCAGACACTATGACATATAATCTGACTCTTTCTTTTCATCATAAATAACAACATGGTAATGTTGAATGTCAAACGATCATATTACAATGATCTGATATATTTTAGTGAATATATAAACATCATTGAAAATGTCTCTACCTTTCGATTTCGTGTTAACATAGATTTTAAATCATTTTTCATACATGATAAATAAATGTGATTTGACATCAAACAATATAAATATTCTATATGAATTCTTTTATACATTTTTGTTAAATTTATTAATTGAGAAAGATTGAACATGTTAGATTCATGTTTTTTTTTATTATCAACTAATTTTACATTATAAGTGATACGAAAAACTAATTTCTTCATATTTGAATATCAAATCTAGAAGAACTTTTTGTTTTAGTGTTTGAAAAGGATAAATCTTAAAATAGAATAATATAGTAAGGCTTTTATTTTCAATTAACCGTAATAATTATTCCAATACGAAGATATAGTCAAAATATTTTTTGAAAATCAATTTACCCATTTTTTTCAATCGTTGAATTTTCGATGATGCAAAGTTTGACCAGTAGAACTTTTCAAATTTTATCTCATCATTTCTTTGAATTAGATATTTACTTATTTGTTTCAAAGACTCCTTTTCGCATTATATCTTTTCTACTAGAACACAAAGGTAACTATAAACATTTGGATACAAAGAACGAGATATATTTAGACTTATAGAGAAAGATTTTATCTATAAATATCTACATTACAAGCTCTACTATTTATTCTTGCCATAGCAATAGTATGCAGTAGAATTCAGACAAAAGAAAATAATTCAAATCGATCATTTTCAAGAAATAAATATTGATATTTTTCCAAAAGACTTTTGTATCGTCTAATATATAAATATATATTTAAAAAAGAAAAACATCAAATACAAAATGACTATAAAAACAAAAATTGTTAAATCAACACGAAAACTATTAAACATGTGTTTCATCTAATTTCATGCGTTTATTTGTTTGTTGATCATCATTCTAAATATAATCAATAAACTTTATAAAAAATGAAAATAAAATCTTATTTTCACTTACTATTGTCGTAGTGATTGTTGGTCGTTTTAGTTTAATTGGAGCTGTATTCTTATTCGATGTTTTATGCATGGTTATTGTATATATACCACGATCTGATTCATGTTTTTCACCTTGTATTTGTACATGCGATTCTTTTGTAGATAATTTTAATTTCGATTCACACGATTTCTCTATATCCCTATGAAATATAAAGAATTTATATTATATTTAAGCAAATAAACAATGATCAACGTTATCAATGTCGAATTGAAAGTAAATTGATATATTTCTATGAAGAGGCCCCCTCACAAACAAACTTTTTTTTTTATTTTTCCACGGAATTCAACCAAAATTTCAGAAAATGTTAGATCTGCGAGTTATAATCAATTTATTGATCAAAAGTACTCTGTACGCTGTCAAGGTTTTCACAGTCAAGATACGAGCTAATATGCCAGGGCGGTTTTTAAATTGTAGAGTACTACTAGCGCTAAGTCCTCACAGAACATGATTTTTTAAATTTCCTTTGTTTGTTTTAAAAAAATAAAATCTTTTTCGAAAAATTCTCGAATTCATAGCCAAAAAATTGCTGATAAAAATGCCATTTGTAAATTTTTTATTTCGCCAATAGAGAAATTCAAAAAAATGGCTCTGTTACAATCTAGCCCTAACTAGGGGGACATTCCCAGGTGAAGGAGCGCTTTTCAGCCGGAGTTTTGCGCATCTTGTAACCCATAGTGAGCTATGCCTATGGTAAAAAAAGTTCCGGTTTCTGGCTTGATTCTGAGGAGATACCGAGCTCCTAGCGAATTTTCTCTATAGTATGCCTACATTATTAGCAAAGCTATACTTTCGAATTTTGACCTGAAACTTTGCTTGCATTAAAGGCCTCAGCTAGACTAGTTTGCATAACAAATTTTTGAAGTTTTGAACAAAGTCTCTCTAAGATACGAAGCTTTGAAAAAGATGCATAGTATATATATTATTATGAAAAGGGACTATACCTTGATAGTTTCATATCTTAGAGAGAGTTTGTTCAAAACTTCAAAAATTTGTTATGCAAACTAGTCTAGCTGAGGCCTTTATGCAAGCAAAGTTTCAGGTCAAAATTCGAAAGTATAGCTTTGCTAACAATGTAGGCATACTATAGAGAAAATTCCCTAGGAGCTCGGTATCTCCTCAGAATCAAGCCAGAAACCGGAACTTTTTTTTTTACCATAGGCATAGCTCACTATGGGTTGCAAAGATGCGCAAATTCTATATTGAGTAAGATTTGTCCGCACAAACAATATACTCGAAGAAACGAAAAATAAATTTTTAAAAACTCGATTTTTTTCAATATTGAGGTTCAGAAAAACTTATACAATATCCTTAAAGTTCATTATAAAATCAATGAACTATAGTGCATTTGAGAGTAGACATTTTGCTCTATTTAACGAGCTATAAATCATAAAATTGACTTTGTCTAAAAGGAAACCTTAATAAAATCATGAGCTGATTAATTACATTCGAAATTCATGAAGTTACGAACGGTTTCATACACAAAAGCCGCTTCAATATAACAATCACAGTTCCGATCTCGATCTCAAGATTAGGATCATCTTGCCTATATCTACTATCGACATAATATCACACAAGCAAATTCAATCTATTTTTTTTAACATCGAATAGAATTTGCTTTTTATTTCCTGCTTACTCTAAATCAGTGGATAACGATCGTTTTGCTCCGTTGAATTTTGTTTGACTATTTGAAAGCATTGTTCCCAAATGATTTGTACGAAATTTTCGTTGAGGTAATGGTGCAATATATTTATAAAATAATTGAACTAATTCATATTTATCATTTGTTATATCAGAACCAACAAACTAATAAATATAAATAATATTAAAAAAGAAAATTAATAATTAATATATATATATATTTCTTAGAAAAACATATTGTGTATATGTTTTCTTTTGTTTCGTTTACTTTTATTAAATATTTTTGTAATTGTTCAATAGTTAATATTTCCGGATGTGTTAAATCAGTATTCATCTATAAATAATGTCAAAGATAAAAGTTATTCTTTTTATTCTTGTTTTTTTTTTCCTTTCTCTATCCAAAAAAAAAAACAAAACAAATGCTCAAAGTGAGTCATATGAATAACAGAAAACAAAAATAAATAAAAGGATAACAAATATTAACCCATAATCAATTGAATAAATCAAAAAAAAAATACGAAGATATACCATTTTATATTCGAAAAGGCTAACAAATCACTTGAGACTTTTTTCTTTATTTTGTCATTCAATTTCATAATAGTTTATCTGATTAAGTTAAACAAACTATTATCGACCTTGTCTTTGTTCGATTCGATTATAATGTTGAACTATATTAATATATGAATTTGTTGTTTGAAGTTGTTTATATGAATCAAACATTCTATAGAAAAATAAAATAAAAGTTTAAAGTTGCAAACTTTTTTTCTTTTTCTTTACATAAATTCAGTTAATCTTGTTAACCATGGATGTAAACCAAGTGCACTTTTAATTGGTCCAATAATTAGAGCTAAATTAATTTCTGGAATGTTTGATAATTCTATGAATGAATTAAAATAATAAAAATAATTTTAATATGGTTGTTTTTTTTTTTGTGTTTTTATTTTTACTTGTATAACAATGATCAATTGTTTCAATTTGAATAGAATCTGGATTTATTTCATTTTGTTTGACTTGTTGACAAAGTTTTTGTGTTACTTTAGTTAATGTTTGACTACAATCGCTGAGCGATAGAAAATGAATTGTTGGTAATGGAAGAGATGATTCTACTAGAATATATATATATAGAATGATTTAATTAAAATGTTATTTGAATATGTCTATTATATATTCATAAAGCTCTTATTATTATTATAAATTTGGTCATTACTTAGTACTACGTGAGATTAGACAAAACCTAGAAAGGTTTTTTCTCATGCGCTTTTCTTTTGTCATTATGAATCTTATCCTGAAATTTTGTACCTTTGGCACAGTATTTATAAAAAAAGGAAAAAACAAGTTTTGACCTAAACCTTTGCCGATAGTAAAAAAATTCGATGTAGCGACCATAACTCCAAAATAGCAGCGGATGAAGAATAATCCTTCTAGATTTCTCTTGATCTCGACAGACCGTACGCATGGCTAAGTCTCATCTCTTATGTTGTGTATTTTGACTCACACGTAGAAATATGCACGACCGGGACCGAGGCCAAAAAGTGGAATTTTACTGGGGCCAAAAAAGTTGGTCCCGCACATCTCTACTCATAAGATACTGTTTTTATGTATCAAGTTGCTGTTGAATTCGAACTATGTGCATTATGTAGGCTCAAATGAACTATAAATAGATCGATAGTTTACTATCACTAATAAAATAATACTTATTGATAACATCTATTTATGAATACTACTTAAATATAGTATTTTCATTTTTTCAAATAATATACATTACCTTTTTTATCATATGTATGAATAAAATCCATAATTGAAGCTTCACGAGTTTTGATATAACCTTAAAAAAAAAACCAACAACGTATTATTTTTAATTTAAATCATTTCTTATTGTTACCTTCATAATCATAAATAATCAAATGTTGAATATTTAATTTTCGAAAAAATACTATTGAATTAACAATAAATTTCCATAAATCAATATCAGGAATTCGTTCATTAATAATTAAAGCAAGAACATCTGTTGATTTATTAAATTGTATTTTATCAAATTGATCATTATTTATATTCCAAGAATCATTTCGACTAACATCAATATTAACCGTTATAGTATAACGATTTCGACTTATAAATTGAATAATACATCTATGAAACCATTGTGTTATATTTAACAACCATAGAAATATTGCTATTATAAATCGATATAATATTAATATAGTTTTCATCTTAAGAAATATATAGAAATAAATGTCAGAGCACAAGTAAAAAGATGATGTAATCTTGTGAAATATTTTGTTTTTTTTTTAGTTTAGTAATATTTATACAAAAAGAAAAGAAAAAAAAAGGAAAGTAGTACAGATAGGAAAAAAAAGAAAACAAAGATTGATTTAATGTTTTCGTCGTCGATCATCATATTTTTTTGTTGATTTCGTATATTCAGAATATTGATCATAATTAGAAGATTTTTTCTTTTTTTGTGAACGTGATTGAGATGAATTTGATGATGATGATGAACGACGACGATGTTTTTTATGATGATGATGATGTTTTTTATTTTTATGATCATGTGATGAAGATGATGATAATACTGGACTTCTATCTCTAGTAGATTTTTTGTCTTTACTTTTATTTGATTTATTATCATCATCAACATTTTTATTTGTAGATTTTGTTAAATTAATTGAAACTAAAATAAAATAATAAATTTTATTTGTTGTTGTTCTTTTTTTTTTGTATGATAACGATTGCTTATTAGTAGAAAATTTTTAAAAGTTTGATATATTTCTATAAGGTTTACTATATACTAGACTTTTGTCCAAACATCCTTATTAACTCATTCGCGGCGGGTTTTTTTTTGGTGAGAAATGGATGTGGGTGTAGTAACAAAGACTCACACCGACATCCTCCTTAGATACTGTTATCAAATTGCACTTGGAAGCATATTCATACGGAGCATATACTGAAAAACCTTACCGTCCCATATATGGGACACCCGCCGCGAATGGGTTAAATATATTAATGAGTGTAAGCTAATATATATATATATATATATTCTATATTAATATTGTTTCATGACATCTTACTTACCTTCTTCTGCACAAGAAGGAAAAAGCGAAAATGTCGTACTTCAAGACGACTATGTCATAACTGTGCATCAGATCTGTTTAGCTATTTCATGTCTCCTATCGACCTGTGTTACAGTATATTAGTCGGAATCCAGCCTGTGTAAGTCTATCTGACAATAAAGTCCAAATACTTCACCGTACTTCAACTTTAAAAATAAAATGAAGTATTTGGGCTTTAAAGTGAGGATGACTTATGTAAGCTGGACTCTGCTAATATATCGTAACACAAATCGATAGGAGACTTGAAATAGCTAAACAGATCTGATACACAGTTATGGCTTAGTCTGAAAGTACAGCACTTTCGCTTTTGCTACTAGCAGATTTTCAATTATCCAAAAATTCACTGACAGAACTTTTGATTTGTACATAACTATTTATTGTTAATGCGTGTCGATAATAAGAGATGATTTATCGTTATATATCACAATTAGTTTGAAAGAAAGGAAAAAAAAAGTTATTTTCAATTCAGCAGTAGACGTCAACTTTGCAAATCTTATAATGCTCGTCACGTTATATCAAATCTCATTGAATTTTATTCTCAATATTCGTGCTATCTTTTTTCACATAGATTTACACTCTCGATCCTATACTTAAATGCGAATGATTCCATATGATCAAAAGGAAATATATCGATTCGTTCACTCTACTTATATAGATGAATTTAGTCAAAATAAAAATTGAACAATGTAGAAGATTAATCATTTTTGATCATAATAAAGTAATTCTCTTGTTTATCTTTCTCTACCTATTTTCCAGATATTTTTCACATGATTTTGACAGATATACATGTTATAGGCAGTTGCTCCTTTTACAATAATTAAGATCAAAGTATTAAACATAGCGAATAAATAAATAAATCTAGAAAATTTTTCTGTAAAGAAATTTTGTTTTTTTTTGCATTTCCTTTACAAGTTTAAAATTGGTTTTTGTTGTCAAAGGCGACTACACTTGCGCAATCAATTATCAATAGAAAATAGATTTATAAAGGCAACAAACATTATCAAGCAAAGATATTTTTATAGAAATCTTCGATTTATAGATTATCAATACTTTTATCAGATGAGCCAAAAAAAAAAATTTTTTCTAATACAAAACATATTTTCTAACTCAATTAAATCTTAGAATTGTGTAGATTATTAATCTAACTAATAAATTTATCTAATTTACCATTATCTTGTTTTATTGATGTTCGAATAGGTGATTTCTTCATTACAGTTATATCTATAGTCGATTGAATTTCTGTATTATCATCATCATCATCATCAGAATCAGATCCAGAAAAGCCTAGAATATAAAAATAGAAAATTTAAATAAAAAATTTTCAATTACTTTGTATAAGACTTGAAAGTCCTGAAGCTTTTCGAATAACAGGTGTTGATAATTCAGCTAAACAAAATAATATTTTTCATTTAATATAAATGATCCAAAAAAAAAAATAGAAGAAGAAATTCATTTACCTTTACAATTTAAATAAATTTCTTTAGCAATAGATGCTAATTCTTCATTTGTTACTTCAAGTAACAATTCTGTCAATGTACGACGTAATTTAATCATCTATTAAGATGACAAAAAAAAAATTAACTATTAAAATTACATTAACAACAAAATTTTCTCTTACAAATTGTTCTTCTTTATCTATTTGATCATCTTCGATGAATGTCGTCGTCGTCGTCGAATTCGATGGTGATGATGGTGAATGTGTTCGTCTCGGAATTGCACTTACATTTAGCTGTTGTTCAGTCGATTTGTCATCATCCTTTGAAATGTTAGAAGAAAATAAGATGATATGAAACACATTGTTCTTTTTTTAAATGTCCAATCACAACAACCCACAAAGCGGCTCCGTCGAGTGACAATTGGTGTTGAAGAAATCAATATTGAATTTGGTTCTTCATCTTCATTTTGTTCAATTTCTTCATCAATATTGTCGTTGTCGTTGTCGTCGTCATCATCATCATTGAATCTTGTTGTTGATTCGTGGAATTTTTCATTGGTATTCGTCTCATTTTCATCATCTTCTTCATCATCATCATCATCATCATCAAATTTCTTTTTTTTTTTTTTTAAAATAATTTTTTTTTTTTTAATTAAAAAAAAAAAAAAACTTACAGAAGAAGAATCATTTAATAAATGACTATTATCATTACTACTTGTATTTTGCATTTTTTTTTCTTTTTCTTTTTCGATTCTACCTAATTCATCTCGAAGCCAAGCGGGAATTTTTCGTCGCTTTGCATTCACATTACTACCACTTGGAATATTGATCATTGTTGATACGGGTGGTTCAACAACTATAATAATATTAAAGTTTAGATTAATTTTAAGAGAATGACTCTCTCTCTCTCCTCTAAGATAAAAGCATTGTGCATAGACTTATGATTAGATAATCAGAATTTCTCTTTTAGCACATGAAAAGGCATTGCCACTGTTTCAGAAGGTAGAATTTTAATAGAGCTCATCAAATCATATTTTACTACAACCTATTGTAGATGTCTTCGAAAATTTAATAGCTACATACAAACAAATAAACCTATGTTCTTTAATGAATGAAAGGTGAGAGCAAGCAGTTATAAGCTAATCTTTGTCTACTTGCTAATTAATCAAAATGGATAAAATATAAAATAGGTTCATTGTGATATTGTACTATGTATGATTTTTACTAGTTTTATTCAAATACATACGAGGTAATATAGGGACAGGAGGAACTGGCATTGGTGGAGGTACGGGTTTTTGTCCATAAGAAGATGGTAGATCCATTAATGATGGTATAGATGTATTAAAATTTGTATTCATCATTCGTTTATCAATAGGAGGATGTTGAAATGATGGTGTAGGAAATTGAGCTGACATTGATGATTGTTGAGGTGGCACAGGTGGTGGAACTGGAGGAGGTACCGGAGGTGGTGGTGGTACTGCTTGTTGAGTAGTATTGTTTGATGGCCAAAACTTATGACCACCAAAAGATGAAGCCATATCCTATAGAAAAAGAAAATTTAATTTTGTTTTTTTCTTTTTGTTACTAACTGGTTGAATAGGAAATAACGATTGATTATTTGTCATATTAGGTCTCCATTGAGGTCCACTTGGCATCATAATTGGAGGTGGTGGTGGTGGTGGCGGTAATGGTTGTCTCCAAGGTGAATCTAAATATTAAATAGTTTAAATATATATCATAAAAATTTTTATTATAGAAAAAAAAAAAATAAATAAATATCAATAATAAGAATAATTTCATTCCATTAATATCTTTCGTCTTCATAGATTTTCTTTTCATATTTCTGAAAAGTCAAGTTGAAGACTTACTTTCAATATTTGTCATCGTTAAACTTTCCTGAGTGGTATTTGAACCAACCTGTAGCTGGTGATGGTGTGAAACAATGCCAAGTTGTGTTGGCGGTAATGGTGGAAATGTCATTCCAATGGGTGGTGGACCAGGAGGTGGAATAGGTGGTGCATTAAGTAGAAATTGAGGTGGTGGTGGTGGCGGCGGCGGTGGAGGTGGTAGAGGTGCTTGTTGCCATTGAGCTTGTTGTTCTCTTTGTTGCATCCAACTATCCGCTAAAGCACTCCAATCAACTATAAAAACAAATAAATAAAAAGTTAATATTTAATAAATAGATTAAATAAAAACCATTTGATGTTGATGTATTATGATTTAAAGGCCAATTTGTATTAAACATATTATATTAAAGCTATTAAGAAGAAAATTTAATATGTAATAATCTTGCTTTTTTTGCTTTCTTTTATTGTCTGTTACTTTCTTCTTACACGATACAATTCGATTCGTCAAATGAAAATAAAAACTATTGATTAAACAACAGAGGGCGCTTAAACAAAAGTTTTATTTTAAATAAAAACTAAAGAAAAAAAAACAAAACGTTTATTTATTTTTTCTATTAAGAAAAAAACAAAATTTCTTTTTTTTTTTTTTTGAAATTAAACAAAATAAAATGACTCATTGTTTGATTCTAACGAAGTTCTTTTTTTTTGTTTCTTTTTGATTTTAACTATGTCGACAACAGTATTTGATGAAGGTGAATATGTAACTTGTCCATTTGATTCATCACATAAAGTACTTTCGGGTAATTTTAAACATCATATTAATCGATGTTCACAAGTTAGTTAAATTAATACATATCATCAAAAAAAAAAAACAATTTTCTTTTTTGTTTTATAGAATCATCCAAATGTAAAAAAAATTAAATGTCTTTTTAACAGTACACATAAAATAGTACCTAATAAATATTATGATCATTTATGTGAATGTCCGGATAATCCTGCAACTTAATTAATGAGCCTTTTTTTTTTATTAATGACAGTTTTGTAATTTTTTTAGATTAAAAAAAATGCCTGTTTATTGTGATCCTGATGATTATTGGTAAGATAAAAGTGTTTCATAGATGAATAGTTTTTTTTTTTGTTTTTTCTTTTTAAAGGCTTTGTCCATATGATCTTAATCATAAAGTATTAGCAAAACGTTTTCAATATCATATTATGAGATGTGCTAAAGTAAAAAAAAAAAAAACAAAAAGAATAGTTTTTATAATATAATATTTTATTTTCAAAGGCTAATCCACATATTCGTCGTGTTAAATGTTCATTTAATGCAACACATTTAACAACACCAAATGAATTATTTAAACATATGTCAACTTGTCCAGATAATCAAACTGTACATGATGCTATTGCTCGAGGCATGAGTGATTTTAGTAAGAATTAATTTTAAATATTATCATAAAAAAATTTATGATTTTTTTGTTTTTGTTTCTAGATTGGGAAGATCATTCATCTGATAATAATGAACGACAAATGGCTGTTATTATGAATGGTGAAGATTGGGATCGAGAAGCACATACAGGAAATATTTTTAATGATGATGAATTACGACAACTTAATGGGTGAATTATAAATTTTTTGTTTTTTTTTTTCATTATCTTTGAAATTTTATATTAGACAAAATGAGATGTGGTCTCATTCGATAACACCGTAAGTGATTTCTTTTTTTTTTTTGGTGTGTTCTTAAATAATTGAAATTTATAATAGAGCTGTACCAAGTACAACAATTCCATCTCGTCCTCAATCATCTTATTTAGATCGTGATGGTATATTATCATCACGAGAATCACCAAAACAAATACCACAAACAATAGCTTCATATGAACCAAAACGAACTAGTGTTTGTAAGAGATTTTTTTCTATTTTTTTTTTTTTTTTATGAATCTTTTTTAATAATTAGATACTATCGGTGGATCAATAAATCAATCAAATAGTGTAGCAGATGCTAGTCTTGAGTAAGATTTTTTATTTTAAATATGAAATTTTTTATTATTTATTTAATTTAAAGTTCACAATTTGAAAATATTCGTCGAAATATGTTAGCAACTGGAGTTGGTCGTGGTCGATTACCAACAACACCACATCCGCCTGCATTTAGTAATCGTTCAGTTTCATATGTATGAATTTTTTTTTTGTTTAAATTAAATCATTTTATAATTTACTAGTAGATTGAAAGTACATTCGATACTTAGACAAAAAAGAGCATTGGATAGAGATTTTTTAGCCTTAGGAATTGTTTATACATATTCGAGATTATTATTACTAAATATATTTATTTTTGAATTTATATTTTAGAGATCATAAATAATGTTAAACTGATGGATTTTCTTTCAATAATTTGTTGGATATAAAACATGTTTTCTTTTTTGTTTCTTTTTGTATTATTTCTTTAGTTTAGCTATCTATTATGTATAATGTAAGATTTTTTTTCTTTTTTTTTTTTTTTTTTTTTTTTCTAAAGAAAATATTTGAAGAACTTTAAATAAAAAGAAATGTTCAATATTATTTGAACAAATATAAAATATATATTTGTAGATGTCTAATTTAATAAATGAATTACAAAAATATTTAGATGAATTTAATGAAGGTATATTTTCTATGAATAGTTCATTATTATGTAGTCTATTAAGTATAAGACATAAAGTTCATATTGAAAAATTTTCTTCATCAAATACATGTGATCTATTTGAAAAATATGGTCGTGTTGTACAAGGTTGGAATATTATATTAACAAATCATATTAAAATATGTCAAACATCATTATATAAAATATATTTAAATGATATAATACAATATCAATATTTAGTTTGTCGTTCATTACTTGATCTTATTAAAGAAAGTAAAAATAAAAATTGGCATATACCAATTCTTATATTAACATTAACTGAACTTCGTCTTTTAACTAATTATTTTACAATAAATATATCAACTGATATAAATGGACGTATAAGTCCACCAACACAACGTATTGCTGAATTATCAATAAATAATGATCGACAAATATCTGAAACACATGTAAATAAAACAATTGAATTACTTACAGAAGCATTTCGTGTATGTACAAGTGATCGTTGTACAGAACAACGTTTATCAAAAAAATGGGGAGCTATACAAATACTTAATCAATTACTTAAATTATGTCATAGAATAAAACGTTATGAACTTGGTGAACAATTACTTTCATTTGCTGAACAATCATTAGAATATAGACATTATTTATTAGAAGATCAAAAAATGACATATGATTATTTTTTAGGTTAGTTAAAAATAAAATTATTATAATAATAATTTTATTTTAAAAATTTTCTTCAAATATTATCAATTAATTAATTTGATATTTTTAACGATTCTAACGAAGAATTAAATGATCTGCAATAGTTTTGAATATCCCTATTCAGTCAACCATATAGTTTATGTTGTAAGATATAGAATTTCATTTTTATATTGAACAACGAAAATCTTTAGACTTTTTGTTTTGAATTCAAAAAACGAATAATGACACAAGGTTATTAGGAAAAAAAATTGCTCTTCGAATCATCTTTTCTCAAATAGACAGCTGCACCCAAGCAAACAAACGTTTGAGGAAACACACAGAAATTGGCCTAAAATCGGCTAAAAGTGTACGGTTTTGGCTCACACTCCCAACTGTGAGCCGAAAACATCCATTTTTCGCCCTTTTTGTGCGTTTAAACGCATTTTCTCAAAAGTTTGTCTGCTCGGGCAGTTGTATGTGTGAATATATTTTTATTGGCCGTCAAGAAGACTTTATTTGACAAACAGTAGAGCGAAAAATTTTCTAACTATTCATAGAAGTCACCTAAGATTCGGTTAGGTTTAGGTTCTGATATTTCCGACTATAGCTAAGCGCAAAATTCTTCCTTTTTATTCATCAACTGAATATGTCCGTAATCAAGTATCAAAACTGTATGCGTAATAAAGATCGTCATACGTACACTCTGATATATATCATTTAAACTGGAAAACAAAAGTTCAAGTTTTCATAATTCTCATTTTACAAGATAGATTTTCACCCAATAAATTTATTTATATTAAATAATGATGGAATTATATTTCCAAAAAAAAATGACTCATGTAATGTTAGTGCTATAAAAATGTAGAAAACAATAATTAACAATTGACTTTTGTTTTTTGAAGATAAAAAAATCAAAATTTTAATTTTTTTATATTAGGAAAATCTGCCTTATTCAAAGATGATTATCGAAAAGCAACTGAATGTTTTGATCCAATATTTCAACGTTGTCCACAATTTATGAAAAAAAATAAATCATCTATATTAATTCATTTATGTATATCAAAAATGCAATTTGGTTATACACCTTGTTTAAAAATTATTTTAAAATATAAATTAAATGCTTTTTATGATTTACTTATATCTATTAAACAAGGACAATTATATGAATTTGATCAATATATTAAAATAATACATCATAAATATTTTTTATCTAAAGGTTTATTACTTCATATTGAAACATTATATTTATTGGCTGTACGAAATCTTTTTCGTCAAGTATGGTTATTAATGAATAAAGAAAATAAAATATCAATTGAAATATTTACACGTGCATTAGAATGGAGTAATCATGGTCAAACATGTGATCAAATAGAATGTGCAACATTATTAGCTACATTAATTTGTCAAAATCGTATTAAAGCTTATATATCTTATAAACATATGATAGTTGTATTAAGTAAAGAAGATCCATTTCCTAAAATACAACAGATTATTTAATATATTCTTGTCATAAAAAATATTTTATTTGGAATACAATAGATCTTTAGGAAAAATTTCATTTATTTTAATATTGATCAATTGAATACAGATACTATATTCATATGTATTGATATCAGTATTAATTTATTAGCAGATATAAAAGTATTCGGCTCATGTTTTTGTTTTTTTTTTTGTTTTTATTTAGATATTATCATTTTTATTATATTTTTTAAGAACAATAACATTGAAAATTGATATCTAAAATAGAAGCTTACTGTCACAAAATAAAAATACTTAAATCTGTGAACAAAATACATGTTCATAAAATAATAATTCATTATTATCTACTTTCGATTTTTCATATAGTAGGTAATTGAACGCAAAATTTGAGTCTACACAAAGAAAATTGACACAATGTATCTAGCGAAAATATTCTATGAATTAATTGAGCCATACACAATATTTCATACAAATCATCATTAATGGACCAAATAAATAGATAAGCATTCGTATAATTGAGAAAAGCTCTCAATAATGATTGTACTAATTTTTCAGCATTTTTTTAATGCCCAACGACTAATACCAGCTCGATTCAAAACAATAATCCATTTTCCAATAAATATCCGTTCTATTGTTGATGGTTTACTGAATCACTTATTTTGACATCGTTCATAACAAAAGAATATTTCTTTGAAATTCGAATGTAATTCAAAATTATTCAATATGTTAGACAAATTCGTCGAATAAAGTTAAATTCACAATGAGAAAACACAAATTGATCTCGATGCAATTCCTTGTTTTCTGATGGATGACGATAATAATAGTAGATGTTGTTGGATGAAAAGTTTTGTTTTTAATCCATTCAATATAGTTTTTATTGAATAGGGGGTGACAGAAATTTGTTTCGACCATAAAAAACGGAGTTCTCAATAGAATATTGATTTGGAAATAGAGATAATGGTATAGACTGAAGTACATAAGTGCACTACCGTAATGTAGTGAATGAATAAAATTCTTGAATTCTGCCGCTACTGATCATCGAATGAATATTATTGACTGAATCAAGCCTTGAATCCATGACAAATGACAAGTTTCTAATAACAACAACAGTAACAAAAATCGAAACTCTTTTTTTATTTTAAAGTTCGCTTTGTCACGATTATTTCTATGGGAACGTCGACCGATATCTAACTTTATGTTAAATGGTAGAAAATTCTCTCCAATTTGTACGGTTAACGGTTCTGCTACTTGTTTAGAATTTTGATGATATTTCGTCTCACAATCCACATGTTATTTTGCATTGCATGGTCACTTTTTCATTTGATTTGTTTAAACGGTTTTTTTTTCATTCTATGTATAACAAGAACGGGTTGAAATCTTTCAATTATCTAAATATATTTTATTTCGGCTTATAGAGTCAGTTCATTAGGTTTTTTTTGTCAAAGAGAAAGAGTAGAAAGAAAAACTGTTCGAATTAAAAATAATAGAAAAACCAAACTCTATAAAATTGTACACGTCGTTTTTCAAATAATCTTTTTTTTTTGTCAACCTTTTATTAAAACGATTCAAACGTTTTCAATCAATCAATTGCGATGGTAAACAAATGCTAGATAATATTTGTTCCGAAAAATGTGATCGAATCGATTGTCGTCCTGTAACAAATGAATTCTGTTGCTCCTTATTTTTTTAGTGACTCATACAAGATATGATGATTATATATCATGTTATTACACCATCAATCTGTAATTTATCATACAAGTCATGTAAGTTTTGCTTCATTCTCTGGAGTCTATGGATACCGAGAGAATAACATTCACATACATTGATTTGAATTATAAATTCAATATAATTTTGTTGATTAATATTAGATTGAATAGTAGAACACTTGAATTGATCCGATATGAAACAAACAAAGCGTCAACAAAACGATAGCATTGATCATGATGACAACAGCAAAAGAAGAAAATTTCAAAGTAACATCAATAGGTTTGTCATATTGATAGATATATATATTTTTTAGTAAACTGATTTCTTCGTCTTTGTTTTAGATCATCAAGCAAATCTCTCACTTGTTTTGAAGATATGTCCAATGAAGTTATCTATGAAATATTTGAATTTCTTGATTTTTTTCATAGATATGATGCTTTTTTAAATCTTAATCAACGATTTAAAAATCTTCTTATTCATTCACCTCTTTCTATTCAAATCAATTTGTCATTAATGTCTAAATTAACTTTTCAAAATTACTATAAATTTATTCTTGTTTCTGATAAATATCGAATTAAATCATTACGTTTATCGAATCCATTCGTATTTGATTCTATTTTATCATCAATAAATATTCAATTAATATTTATTCAACTTGAAACACTTATTCTCAATAATATCGATTCAAAATCTCTCGAAAATCTTCTTAATCATTTAACTTTGTTGTCTAGTCTTGTATCATTATCGATTATTTGTATAGATAACATTGATCATCCGAATGATTTCTATCTTCAAATCTTTCGTTTACCTATATTAAAATATTGTAAATTATCATTTAGTAAAAACTACAAATTGAAATCAATACCAATGGCAACTAATCAATACAGTTCTATTGAACATCTTATTATCGAATGTATTATTCAAATCAATATTCTTTATTGTTTTTTATCTTATGTTCCTCAACTTCGTCGTTTATCGTGTCAATCTCTTGTTGGATATGATGATGTACCAACAGATATAAAAATTTCTCTGAATAATGTAACACATGTGTCTCTTGATCTCTATCATATGAGTTTTGATAATTTAGAATTCTTGATCAGACAATTTTGTCATAAAATTCAAGTTTTATATATTTCTGGCTATGTCAGTCAAGAACATTTAGATACCCAACGATGGAAACAATTAATATTAAATCATCTTCCATATTTGCGTATTTTCGATATACAATCTGTATATTTAGCAATTTCTATCAATAATCAACAGACATACGAATATTTATTCAATCAATTCAATTCTCAATTTTGGTTCGAACGACAATGGTACTTCGATTATCGACGAGCTTTGATTCGTGGTAATCGAACTGGAATTTTCTATTCAATAAATCCATACAGGTAATAGGAACAGTTTAGTGATTTGTGACTTTCATCATTCAAAAGGGCAATGTAAGGAACATAGAATTTCAGAGATATACCATTAGTCAACAATTAAACAATTGTTCTTAGTTTAGAGCAAATCTGAAAATCATTCTATCAATAACTTTTTTTTTACTTGCCAATACTCTGTTGCTATATGATTGTTACATCAGTGATAACGTAAAACTCAGGGTCTTTCACTCATATGAGTCTCAGTCAAACAGCTGAAATCGGACTCTTGAAAATATACTTATCGATCTTCAACAGAACGAACTAGCGAGCAGAGTTTTTTCTCTCAGATGAGTTTATTTTAATTTGAACTTACGTTTTGACAAGTCGCTCATTAAATGTTTATGAAATACATTTTTAATTGTTCAATAGCTGACTCGTTATGTTTCTGTGAGATTCTATATCTTAGACATTGCTCGTTCATTGGCATTAACAATAGTTTACTTTTGTTTAAAGGGGAAAAGATTATAGATTAGTTGGCAATATAAATGAAAATACTCGGTTAATTCATCAAGAAACAAATCTAAATTCAGTTCTTCATGTTTATATTTATGGTGAACAGACAATAAATGATTGTATCAATTATTTTCCAAATGCTACTCATGTGACATTCTATGATAATTTCTGTTTAAGAACACGATCATTTTCATCAACTCTTAATCATATTATCTCTTTGCAACAACTTACAAATATAGATATTGATACCAATCGTTTTTCTTTTCAAAAATTTTGTGAATTGTTACAATTTGCACCAAATGTCAATACATTAATGATTAAATCTGAAATTCTTAAAGGAGCCTATTCTGAATCAATGCGACAAAGTGAAATATTTCGATTAGCATCCAATATTAATATAATTAAACATATGACTATTAAAGATAAATGTACATTGAAAAAGATTGAAATTCTTCTCAGTTTATGTCCTCGACTACAGTCTCTAACAAGCGATGTAAATTGGCATGATTTTGAATCGATCATTCGATATTTATTGTCAAAAACTAATGAAAATGTACGTCATTTATATTTATTCTGTGTTTCAAATGCATGTCCAGAATTGTTTGAGCGATTGAAGAGTTTAATCAAATCAGAAAAATTGATTGATGATTATTCGACTAAATATATTAATTCTAAATTATATTTATGGTTCTAATATTTAATTCATCATCAAATATATATACGATTTATATTGTTACATCAAAAATATTTCTTTTAATCATGAATTTCAAGAACATGATTTAATATCGAAGCTGATTGTACATCTTAAGAGAAAATCATTCGAATTTTAGTTGTCTTAAATGAAATATATCGATTTGCCTTGTTGATTAATTTCACTGATATTTGTGAAATAGAAATTGGTTAATTGATTTTCTCACTAAAAATTTCTTAATTAGTGTTTCTAAAGTTTGAATCACAAACTATAAACCGTCAAAATGAACAATCTAATGCTCAATCTTATTCTATTAGTTTATACTTGCCAATATTTTCTGTTTTTTTTTAAAATTCAAGAGTACTTAATTATCTCGTGAACTGCACATCATTCAATAGTACATTCTGTGACCCGTTCGAAACTTCTCCAATTGTTCCAAACTTATCCTCAAATTACAACTTCTAGAAGAACTAAGCGACAATACATTTTCTAGCATCCTATGTAATTTATGATACGTTGCTATGTAATATTGACTGATTGATTTTGAATAGCAAGACGAATTAAAATACATTGATGCATTTCAAAAAGCAAAACATCATATGAGATCAATAATTTAGCTGATTCAACTAAAATATTCGTCTTTCGATGATTTGGACAAGAAAATGACAATAGCTGTCCATTCTCTCGTCAATGTTTCAAATAGATGGTTCAAGTTAATAAATATTGACGTCTGTTTTCTTGCCTGAAAAATACAATGAACAAGATTACTCAATTCGAAGATTTGTCCAATGATTTATTCATGGATATTTTTGATTATTTACATGCTTTTAGATCTTTTCATAGCATTTTTTTCACTCAATAAACGTATTTCATTGATTCTTTCATCAATTTTAGTTCATGTGGTCGTTTCAAAACTTCATTATCGCTATTAAATTAAATTACTCTCTTTTTATCTTACTAATCATGCTCATCAAGTCATTCCTTGCTTGTTCAACAAACATAGATTTGTTAATCTTCGATCATATATATTTTCTTCTATTTGTTCGTCATCAAAATTTAATCATATCATTCAACAACTCAGAACTTTGACTAAACTTGAATCGTTTCGAATAGAACAATCATATGACATATCATTATCTAATCGAGTCAAACAAAAATTAAGCAAAACTATTTTAAAACATAGATTATCTAGCATTCATTCAGTTCAACTATTATTTCGTTATGATTATTCGTATATGACTACTAATACTACTATTAACTTTACATCAGCGTTTTTAATAGGATTTCGAAGCACAGTGTACGCATACACTTTGCTAAGCCAAAGATTTTATTTTCAGAGTGTACTTCATAGGAAAACAAAGTGTATTCTAAAAAAACAGAGTGTACGTACACTTTGCTCTGCTGGTGTACACTAATCATTAAAAACACTGCTTTACATTGACATCACTTCGTATTCTGTTTTATGGCTCATCTACTAATTGTTCGATTTATTGTATTGTGTCCATTCTCTATACTTATCGCGCATTACGACAATTACATATATAGCCATTTCCAGTGACAATGAATCAATATACATCAGCCAATGTAAGTTATTATATTAGAATGAAGATAAATAGAATGAATCATCAATAGAATTGACATAATAGTATGTACGCTCAGCCCGATGACTCATCAAATCAATATCAAATAATGCACTTTGGAGGGCGCCACATGTCTAGACTCATTTTTGGAAGATACTATTAACATAGTACATTCTCGTACTAGGTCTATAAAAAGTGGTGAAGTCCGTTTCTCTAGCCCAAGAACGGTTTTTAAGATATCTGCCTAACAAAATATGGTATCCTATGGCAACGAAATGCACTTACTGAAACTTCGTAAGTAGAGAGAATCGAGTTCTGTGGCACTTTCCAATCAATTCAGCGCATCGACTAATAATGAAAGAGCTCGATTTGACTAAAAAATTGAGAAACTCAAACAAAATTTTTGGTCATGCCGTCTCAATAATAACGTCATTATAAATGATCTGTGTTAGGATTGGTCAGAGTATTTTGATGATTTCATGGCACTGCCTCTTTTTTTTTTTTAAAACTAAATATACAGTTCAATAGAGAAAAATTTTCTCTATCTACTGATACCAATCTTATAACTAGGCCCTTTCAAAAAAGACAACCAATCATAGAGCATTTGCTATTGTTTCACTTATTTGAGCTGTTTTTTCGGCTGAGCGTCCATACTATAAGCAAACTGATGAGAGATATCTCAAAGAAATAATGAAAGTATTTTTTTTTCGATATGCTTGTATAATTTAGTTTTATTGATTTTATTCTTAATATTACCGTTTGTCTGTAATTATCATTTGTACTGAGCAAGATACAAAAGACTTTCTGATTGGCAATGTATATATTCTATATTTTTGAATTGATTTCATTGCCGAGTTATATTAGTGATTTACTTCATTCTTAAATCTGTTTATTAATACAGTTCTATATAAAACATTCTGTTAAATAAATTTCTGTATAGATAATTATCTTATTAGATCTTTGTTTATCTCATATCGAATATATTAATGTTCTTTACTTGTTTAGTGTACTAATATTTCCATTTACTATTGAAGACAATCTATCAGTGTCACCCTATGTGACATTATTCAATTTGGATATTGACACAGAATGCAATTTTGATTTATTAAATCTAATTCTTCGTTATATGCTTAATCTTCGTCAATTTATTATTACAATGATAAATTCATCATTGATATCGCTCTCCTGGAATCATTTGTTAAATGGTCAAAATTGGCAATAATTGTTAATAAATCATGTACCGCATTTAGATGTATTTAATCTTTTTCTGACTGTAATTATTGATCCACACTCTTTACTACTAGATATGGACAATATAGTCCATTAATTTGATTATTTTTCTACAAAATATGATGATTGGTATGTTGCAATTAGTCAATCAAAATATAGTGTCCATCATCGATGTAAGATAATCATATAAATTTGTTTTTTTAGTTTATGTTCATATTGTTTAGTACATATAGTTCATTTACATACGTTAAGATTTTCAATAAAACTACTATATATGTATAGTGAGAGTCAACAAATAATTCTTGGTACATTCAATATGCATACAACAGCAATAAACGATGCACAACAGCGTCTCATTTATTATAATGTTACTGATTTAGAAATTGATATACCATTAAATACAAAATATTCAAACAGTCTATCTCCTTTTACATCATATCAAAATATTGATTCTCTCTCAATTCTAATGAAACGTTTGAGAACCAGTTTATGGAATACTGTGATTAAACTAAGTAAATAGAAATAATTAGTAATCAACAATTTGATATTATTTAATAATTCTTTTTCTGTACTTGTTTAGTTGGTATCTATTATAATGATGATAAGAAAGAATAAACTGAACGTTTTAACCAAATTGCATGTCTTATTAACTTGAAACAAATAAATTAGAATTCGATCCAACGATGGATCTATCCCAATTACATTTCATTGAACAAGTTTTATTGTAGATAAGTTTAATGAAATTATACTAAATAGATATTTTTTTTTAATAGGGTAAGTTCAAATGTGGTTCAACTAACGATTTCTACATTATTGTTTTTATCGCCATCAATATTTGATAATTGATCACTTGCTCATCCTTTCTGCCGATTACAGTCACTTTATTTAATAACTGAACATGTGTATTTTTCCTGGAAAAATGCGTTAAAATTAGTTCAACGATGTCCATCACTCATTCATATCGAATTATGAGTTTTTTCACTAGATACGTACATGTTTAGCACTTGTTGATATTCTTCTGGGTGATTTGGCTGATTTAATTTATTTAAAAATATATTTTAATAAATATACATTACTTCATAATCCATGTCCGATAGATTATATTAGAGAAAAACGTTGTCGAGCATTTCCATTCCACATCTGCAATAAAGATGAAAATTTCGTCGAAGTTAATGAAGAATTCTTAGAAATCTATTTGAGTGACTGTTTAATATGTACAAATAAGATATGTTATATTTGAATAAATAGTTGAACAGAAAATTTTGTTTTGTTTTTATTTGTTAAACATGGATATAATACAATACAAAAAAAAACAAAATATGATTTAATTTCTAGTTTGATCATCATTCTCTGATTCATATATGACTTTGAGATTGAAAGAAATAATTTCAACACTTTCAAAAAGTATTGAAACGAATGACTCATCTATGTAATATACAACGAAAGTATAAATATGGTTGATCTTGTCTATGGATTTGAAATAATATGTAAATTTAACTTTTTGAATTTTTATTTTTAAACGATTGACATCATGTTTTTCTTCGTCAATGACTTATCGAGATCAAATACTTATCATATTAGTCTATCTTATTCACATTGCAAATGTCGTTGTCATATTCTTGGATCGGATAAACAAACGTCTGTTAATAAAATATTTGATAATATAGAAGTGTTCGTCTATTCATATTTTGTAAAAGAGAAATAATGTATCAAAACATAACATTAGGCGAGTCTCAAAGAAAGCTGAAAAAAAAACAGCCTCAATTAGTTTTAGTAAAGAATAACAATTCAAATTTTTATTATTAATATCTTGTGACAAAACATACCATTGGTTCGTCCCAATGTACATATATAGATTAAGAATATTCTCCTACTACTTAGTTAATTGTTACGAGCAATAGGTGTGGATGTAGGTGTACTCGTGGTTGTCATTATAAGTGAGAAAAGCCTTTTTGTCACACCTACACCTCACCAGAGTATTTCGTTTTGCTGCAGGTGCACTCATAAATCTGGAGCAGAAACAGATCGAAGCGATTCAATAATTGTCGGCTCTGATTTTAGCTGCGAATAGTTTTTAGTTAGTCTGCGATGAAAATGCATGTTATATACTCGATCCACGTATTCAATACAAAAATTTTTTGATTGGCTATTAAATCACTTTCATTTCAATCAGTTCGATAAATTTTCACTGATCTTGCCAAGCAAAATGATATTGTGGGTATCATCGCTCTTTTGGATTTTCTTGCCATCGGACCTCAACCTAATTTGATTTGACCTTTTTTTGTCGCACATGATATATCATACTGAGTTTCATGAATATCGGCTGATTATGAGGTTATCAGAAAAGAATATGATTTCAAAAATCCTGATGTTTGTTTTTAGTACTCATGATTTTTTCAGGCTTTGGCTAAAGAATGAACTTTTTTGGTATCAAAGATACATGCATTGTAATAAGCGTATTCAATAAAGACAAACACTGAGCATAGACGCCGTCAGCCACCTTAGAATTCGTTTATTTTTATAAATTTTTGTTCATTGTGGAAATCAGATATATTCTTGAAACTTCTGAATGACAAAAAGTGCTGCCACTGTAATTGCAAACAAATTAAGTCTTGAATCGAACTTTAGATCACTATCAAAATCAAGCAAATCCAAGTTCCAACTATTTTTTGAAGTTTTCCGATCGGAACTGATCATATTTCATTCGCCTAGGACTAAAAATATATGATGATAATTTCGAGATTTTAGGTCTAGATGATCTTGCCTCATGTAACAAATATCTAAACATGAAGAAAAATTCTTTTAGAACTTTTGCTTTAAAAAGCTCTATCTTTTACATTCAAAAGCTGTCGATCTTTTTTTTTTGTTACACTTCCAAAATATAAATATGTTTCACTAAATTGAAATTTTATTATTTATTTAGATTATTAGAACTTATATGAGCTGTATTAATCTATGAACTTCTTTGTGAAGTTGAAAATATAATATCACCAGTAAGTAAAACTTAATTTCATATTGCTAATTCAAAAAAAAAAAAAAAAAAAAAAATAAATATTGAAAAAAATTTAGAAATCAATGTCATCTTATGCACGATTATCAAAAGCTCTTGATGGTCTTGTCGAATATTTTAATAATGAAGAACACTATTTACCAAAAGATATTCTCAAAACTGATAAATACAAAGTAAAAAACACAAATCGATTTAAGATTCTAATATTTTGTTTTTTTTTTTTTTTACATTTTAGTTAGTAAAAAAATTATTAAAATATCAATCTACCGATACACAATCGTTAATAAAAATGTATTATCAAGTAAATAAATAAATAAATATTTACATCAAATAATAAATTAATCTATTTCTAGGAAAAAGTTCACGAACAAGATCGTGCTAATAGTTCAAGTCAAGTTGATTTAGGAAAACTTTTTTCTTGAGCTTATTATCATTTAAAAGAAGAAACATTATATATTGAAAGTATGTCTTGTTTTTTTTTTGCTCAAACATAAACTAATAGTAATGCTGAAGTATACGGATAAAAATTTCGATTCCTCACAGTCCGTAAAAGACATTGATATATAATTACAAATCGTATATCAATTAAGAAGCTACGAGTCCGGATGCGAAGTTCAGGTTATTGTCGGACTTGAGTCTACAAAAACGTGGATACACAGCTTCTTAATACGAATAATGTCTCGTTTATAATATACGAAACACTTTCTTATTGCATTTTGTGAAGAATGAAATAAAACGATCATGAAGAAATATGGATTTCGCATTTTAATCCCAGAGAGATTGTACTAACAGCTTTTTTTTTCTTCCATTTAAATATTTCTTATTTATTTTGTTTTAAGTTATTTCATGTAAAAATCTAAGACCATGTGATTCAAATGGTTTAAGGTAAATTAAAATTAAAAGCATAAGAAAACAAAACCTAGTTTTTTTATTTTAGTGATCCATATGTTGAAGTACAATTATGTCCAAGATTTTTATATCCTCATATTGAAAAACAACAAACATCAGTTATAAAAAAAAAAACTCTTAATCCACAATTTAATGAAAAATTTGAATTGTAAGTAAATAAAAATCATATCGTTATATGAATTCCTTATTGTTTTTTTTTAATTTTGTAGTCGATTAACAGAAAAAGAATGTAATTTATCAGGTGAAATCGTACATTTTATAGTAATGGATCATGATTTAATGTGGTCAAATGATTTTGAAGGTGAAGCATTTCTCGAAATATGGAAAATAACTGGAATTAATAATGACAATCGAGCTATAGATGAATTAAAACAAATTGAATTAGCATTAACGCATCCGAAAGGTTAGACAAAAAAGCAAAATTATTTTAATTTATAAAATTTACAATAAAAAAAAACAAATCATTTTAGTTGTACGAAGTTGTATTATTAAAATATTGGAACAACGAATAACCGATAAAATAGCGATTGACTTTGTTAGAAGACGACGTGAAAAAGAAAATCAATGAATATTTTTTTTCCTTCACGAAATATATTTTACTTCTTTTCTTTTTTTTTTTTTTTTTCTTCTGTGTATTCTTATTTATTCTATTTGTAAGTTTGAGCAACATTGAAAAATTATTCATATTTAATCCCAAATGATTAAAAAAAAAATATTCATTATTTTATAATACAAGTTAGTCATGTAAATGATTTGTATGGAAAATAATATAAATAAGAATATTTGTTAATTAAAAAAAAGAAAATTTAATAACATTTACATGTTTGCTTCTTTGTTGAAATATTAAATTATCAATTAAATGTTTATGCGTTACAGTTTATCATGTATTTTAATTCGAATAACAGAATGATTAAACGTTAATTCTTCTTATTTTTTTTTTGTTTATTTATTATTTTTCGAAAATTATCAATTCGCTAAATATACATAAAACGTCAATTAAATAACATATACACGAATAGAAATTTTCTTTTTTTCTCTCGTACTTTCATTATGTTGTGGCTTTCGATCATTGTTTATAGAAATATGTTATTTAGTTCATTATCATATAATTGTATCTATGTATAAAAATAATATAATTATTCTTGTATTTATCTTTCAATTTTATTAGATATTCGACTATCTCATTACTAAGATTAACTTGTATCATTTTATTGATGGATTGAATTATTGTCATAAATGTTAAATTATTCTTTCTAAAATAAATGTTACAATAATGTAATCTTAGTGAATGTAGTGCATTCAAGATTGCTACCAGTATGTCACAGAAACTTTTTTGAATACTAAAGTAGTTTAGAGCTTTTTATCACTTAGTTATTTTTCATACAATAATATAGAAAATGAACAAGTCTTGAAGTTAAGATCAGATCGAACTGGATATGTACTACTTCCACATAGACAAGAGTGGATGATAGAGATCAAAATTGGATTCTCCAGCTCATTAGAGATGTCATATTAGAGTTGATACTCGTATGAATTAAGGCATGAATGGATTAAAATTAAATTTTTAATATTAGTAGATAAGTATCACTACGGTTTTTTTTGGGAGGCTATTATTAATCTCACATCATTATTACAGTAAAGAAAAATGGTGGAATGAATGAAGGGAGAGAATAGTAAAAGAACTTTGTTATCTTGAAGTAATGCATCATTATAAACACAATTAATGCAACTCTGATGAAGTGGAGATATACAATATTACCCGGAGATTAAATTAAGCATGTAAAACAAGCAATAAAAGCTTTTTTCTATCTTTGCCGATAACATGACACTTTTTTTTTTTTCTAAATCCATGATAGTTCAATTAGTCATTTTTCATTTAAGACTTGAGTATATTTTTGAAAAATTGGTTCAAATTCAGTTCGATTGTTTGTTATTTTGAAAAAGAAAATTAGTTCGATTTCGATTCAGTTCGTTTTCAGCCTTTATTTCCGAGCGAGCTTGGCGAATTATCATTTGTTTTTCCATAGGAAGAAACATCTTATTCAGATTTAAAGAAATTCGTTAGAGTTGTGATATTACATGTTCATAAAAAATTATATCGCCTGAGTTTTCCATGGCACTAATCTCTTTCTTGTATCAACGAGATAGAATTTCTTTACACTTGCATGGGTGTTACTTATAAAAACTTATTTTCAAGGCTATTTGTATATAATTACAGATAGGATGATTTGCAGATAATGAATGCTACTCAATATAGATGTGGCACGTTAACTTTAAACGTAAAGTTAAAGTAGCAAATTTTGAAATTTTATCTTTAAAAAAAATAAAAGTTGAAGTATATATGTTAATGATATCCATTGACAATAATTCCTAAATCTCTAGTTTAGTCTTATGCTAAAAATATTATTTGTATGAAAAATACAGAATGAAATCAAATTAAATAAATACGAACTACAGTGCTCATATGCTGTAATCTATTTGATTTATAACTATTGAGAAAGGAAAACTATTGTTATTGAGTAATCGATAACGAAAAATTTATGAATTTGATCTTTCCATAGTGGATAACCTATTTTCTGAAATTTTATAAAGTTTGATCAAAGACTTTCAATATGGAGAGGTCTGAATCTATTGTTAGTTTTCCGACATCGAGTTTAACTTTTTCGGCAACATGTCTGTAAAGGCGGACTACTCGACTTCAAACACTTTTGATCAAACTCATAAAGTTTTCGTCAGCGGCTATTCCGTAGCGATAACTTTCCTTTCTTGAGAACTATAAATCAAGTTCTTTCGTAAGTTAATATATGAATGAAAAATATAAATTATTATTTTTATTCTAAATTTTTCTTTATAGAATCTTTTCTCGAGTTAGAAATGTTCATATTCAATTAACATTGATACTAACAACAATTATCTTTTTTTTATCGGCAAAATCTTTAATATATTTTTATTAATTATTTTAGAAGATAACAACAAAAACAAAACAATGAAAAAAAAAAACATCAAGCAAGTGCTGATGTTCCTTTAATAGTCAAAATAGCAGCTGATGATTTTCCTTTTTTACGTTTTTTTTGCTTCATTTGATGTTAATTTTTGTGTTGCATCAGTAAAAAGAATAACATCATTTTGTTCTTCAATTTGACGTCGAATTAATTTTAAAAAACCAGCAAGATTAAATCCAACATTATTCTTAACAAAAACGAAAAAAAAAAAGAATCATTTTTAAAAATTTTTATTTCTTCGTAAAAACTTACTCGTAATTTTTCTACTGTATCCATACAACGTGTTCGTAATTGTTCAACAATATTTAAATATTGATGAGATGATGTTAATACACCATGATGAATTCTATATTAAGAAAAAATAATAATAAATTTTTTTTTTAAATTTGAATTTACTTGATTAAAAATATAGCACATTTAACACATAATTCTGGTGATTAAAATCGATCGAGATAATAAATAAGAAGTGATAACAATTTTTGAACATAATCAAATGGTAGAAGAAGAAGTGTTGCTTCCAAATCACTAAAAAAATTTCACTCAAAATATAAAATAAAATTAGAAAGAACAAAAAAACAGATTTCATACCTTGCTGAAATTTTTCTTAATGATTCAAGTACAAAAACGTTCAGCTGTATAACCACTTCCTAATGCTTGTAACATAATATGATGTGTTGGTGAAGGCATCTTAATTAGCAAAAGAAAAAAAATTATTTTATCTTATAAATTAAAATAACTTATTTTACTTCTTTTCCTAATGCTTTTTGTGTTGCTTCATGTTGAGCAAGTTTTTATTTTTTTTCACGCCAAATATCAAGTGCTTCAATAATACTTTCTGCCTAAGAAAAAGAAATCGAATAAATAAAGACAAAATCAAAAAGAATAATTTGAATAAAACGTACACCTTTAAGACTTTCAATTGTTTTTAAAGTAGCTAAACCAACTTCTTTATTTGTTTCACCAGGTAATATAAATTCATCATTTTCCATTTCATTTTCAAATTGAGCTTTACGTTTCTAAGCAAAAAAAACATACAATTGATTAATTATTTGCCGAAATGAAACATATGTATTTATACACTTTGAGTTTTTAAATAGTTTATAACTTACCAATGCGTTACAGAGTTCATCCATAAAAGTCTCAAATATTTTTCCAAACATTCGTAATCTTTATTCATTTCTTAGTAGTCGCTATCTGTAGTTCTAATAATAAAACTTAGCTTTATACAGAATTTTTCGTAAGTAATAAGTATGTGAAATATGTCAACAAAATTCAGGAAATCTTTGCCTTATTGTTGTACGATCAGTTTTTTACAAGGCTTAAAAGTAATGAAGATATAATTGTTTTATTTAATTTTGAATCATACTCGAAACAACGCTACAATTGTTCTAAGATTCATCGATATTTTAAATGTAATGCTGAAGTATTTTAATTAAATCTGCTATAAAAAGCATTAGTCATCGATCTTTGACATCTGACTATTAATGAAGAAAATTCAATTATTTATGTATGACGTATCTCCTATAGTGCCATCTAGCAGTTTCATTTCGATATAGACAATGTTTATGAAATGATTGGCGAATTGAATGATTATATTGTCATTCTTGTCTTTTCGTCGTCGTCGTCGTCGTCTCTCTCGATCTTTGTTACTCTTCTATTATATAATCTTGTATTCACATACGTTATCACAACATTTTCTAATTTGTGATATTATTAATTCAATGTGCAAGAAACAACAGAAGGATAAAATGTTGAAAGAAAAAATGATAAAAGTAGGGCTTTTTAAGTGTGTTTCTCTTGTACTCGACGATTGTTTAAAGCTAAAACCATAGATACATGTGAGCCATAGTTCACATTCTTCTATCACATTCTAATCCATCGGTTCAAATTATCATAATTATAGCATCTCTAAGTCTAGTCATCTGTCGCTTAACATTAATTAAATTCTTTTAGATTATAAGTCATTTTATGAATCCTCTACAACCAATTAATATTGGTCATGTACAAATAGGTGCAGTTCTATAATGCACGGTTTTTTTTTCTCTGCATGAAAATACTAACATACATTTTTTTTTTTTGTACTTCTCGATTAATATTACATCTATCTTTTGTTTTCTGTTGTTTAGAATGTACCAATTCTACATGCATCCCCATTTCAAGTTCAACTATTGCAACTACTGAATAAACAGCAGCAGCAATTGCAACAACTGAGTCAACAGCAGCAACAACTGCCACAACAATTGCAGCAGCAATTGCAACAACAACTGCAGCAGCCATTACAACAATTGCAGCAGCCATTGCAACAATTGCAACTACAAGTGCAACAACTCCAACAACAATTACAGCTGCAACAACAACAACAACAACAACAAGGTAACCTTCAGTAGTTCTTTTAACACTTCAGATTATGTGTTTTCATTTATATATATATATATATTTTTTTTTTTTTTATTTCTAGTTAATGGTGGTCAAGTAGCTGTTCTCGGTCATGGTGGTACTCAAGCTGCTGGTGTCGTTCGTCGTGGTCGTGGTCGTGGTCAAGTTGCTGTTGTGGTTCGTCGTGGTCGTGGTCGTGGTCAAGCTCCTGTTGTTGGTCATCGTGGTCGTGGTCGTGGTCGTGGTCGTGGTCAAGTTGCTGTTGTAGTTCGTCGTGGTCGTGGTCGTGGTCAAGCTCCTGTTGTTGGTCGTCGTATTGCTGGTGGTTAATATGACTTTTTTTTTTTATTGTATTCAATTTTTTTTTTCTTTTTGTTGAATTATGTATATGTAAATTTAAAATATATAATAAGGATTTATTTTAAAATATTATTATTTTGATAAAGAAATTAAATAGCAGAAATAAGAATATAAAATCCCAATATGATTCTTTTTTGAATCAATCATTAACAAAGATAAATGAAGAATAATAATTAGGGGTGTTACTTTATCTTCACTTTAAAAATGAAGGTAAAAATTTACTTTATCTTTATTTTATAAAGAAGAAAGATAATCTTTACTTTAAAAATAAAGATAAAGTGAATCTTTATATTTATAAAATAAAGATAAAGATAATCTTTATTTTTAAAAATAAAGTTAAAATAAAGAATAAAGAATAAAAAAATAATTTGTCTGGAAATTTCAACAAAATAAATAAATCATGTTATAACAATAATATATACGTATTAATTAAGAATTATTTCATAGAATTATTTTTATGAATTGAAAAATAAATACAATATATAATACGTAAAAAGTGACAATATGCTAATACTGTTCTTTATGTCAATGAATTGCTTTTCTAAATCATATGTTAGTTATTTCAATAAATTTCTTTGTAATAACTGAGATGAAAATCAAATCTTACTCATGACCTTTCTTGAGTAACTTAATACTTTAAAAAACAAATGAAAAGATATGTATGTTTTAGCTTGAGATTATTCGGAATGTTTTTTTTCTTCCCATTGTCTGCATAGATAACCAACATTCATCAAAAATGATATATTAGTTTCGTCATATTCTATGACAAATTTTTTATAAATTTTTCATTGATTTCAGAGTGAAACAACAAAATGGACAGGTGAATTATCACGTGATGCTGAAACAATTTTACATCAACATGCAATTCAAGGTGATATAACTGATATTCAACGAAAAATGTGTCGTTGGATAGCATATTCCAAAAAAAAAACATCTTGAACGTACATTAACACATAAATTATTATTATCAATAACCGAACAATTAGAACAAACATGGCAACCAACTTCATTAAGTCGAGATGAAAGTGATATGTTACGAGAAGCTTTTACATTATTTATAAATCATTGTTTTAAACAATTAGCAAAACTTCGAGATCTTTTTCCAGCTGCTAATCGAATTGCAATCGAACGACTTGAACAACTTTTAACGTAAGATTAAAATTATTTCAAAGTTTATTTGTTAATAGGTTTTTTTTTTGTAAACGTATATTTTTGATGTTTTAGAATTGTTGCTAAATTACATAGTATGGAAGTATTTCGTTATTGTTGTCCATTTCAAAATAGTCTTCAACATGAATTATCATTAATTATAACAGTAAGAAATACTACCAAAAAAAAAAAAAAAAAAAAAAAAAAAAAAAAAATTATTGATTTAATTTTTTTTTTTTTTCAAGGCTGGAACTATGGAATGGTTTGATCGTATGGTTATTCAAATAACAAAACAAAGATTAAGAGTAAGATTTTATTGAAATATTAATCAAGAAAATCATCATTTTTATTTAGTCGAATGAAGATGTATTACGTAATACAAGTGAATTAGTCTATGTTGTAATTGCAGATGGTAAGAAATTGTATTATTTTAGAAGATAGTAATGTTAGAATATTTATTATAAGAGAAAAAAAAAAATATTTACTTCAATAATAAATAAAGAGAATAAGAATGAGATGAAGATGAAATGTCAATTGCTCTTTATGAGTTCGAGTATGGATTACTGTCAAATGAATAATGCTTGACAACGAGAATCTGTACTTCAAACTCATTTTATATATTTATTTGAAGAAGTGTTAGTCTTCACCTCAGAAATATACTTAACACTATGACGATAAAAATGACGTTTCTCAATGTTGTAACCGGTAACGCTGATTTGGTTTAATATAGATTTTTTCGAGATTTTACATGGGTTTCTTTTTTTTAAAAATTGATCATAGAATCAAATCGTTTTTACTGATGTTAATGACTATTTCTATCAAGGAACATGAACATTAGAATATTTCTATGGGAATAAATTAAACACTTAGTAAAATCTATTGTTAAGTATTATATACAAGTTATCAGTAAATAAGGCTATGAGTGTGAATGCTACTGTTAGGAAGGTCGATATCTACACTCTTATATCATTTAAACTAGAAAACAAAAGTTCAAGTTTTCATAATTCTCATTTTACAAGATAGATTTTCACCCAATAAATTTATTTATGTTAAATAATGATGGAATTATATTTCCAAAAAAAAGAAAAAAAATGACTCATGTAATGTTACTGCTATAAAAATGTAGAAAACAATAATTAACAATTGACTTTTGTTTTTGAAGATAAAAAATCAAAATTTTTATTTTTTTATATTAGGAAAATCTGCCTTATTCAAAGATGATTATCGAAAAGCAACTGAATGTTTTGATCCAATATTTCAACGTTGTCCACAATTTATGAAAAAAAATAAATCATCTATATTAATTCATTTATGTATATCAAAAATGCAATTTGGTTATACACCTTGTTTAAAAATTATTTTAAAATATAAATTAAATGCTTTTTATGATTTACTTATTTCTATTAAACAAGGACAATTATATGAATTTGATCAATATATTAAAATAATATATCATAAATATTTTTTATCTAAAGGTTTATTACTTCATATTGAAACATTATATTTATTGGCTGTACGAAATCTTTTTCGTCAAGTATGGTTATTAATGAATAAAGAAAATAAAATATCAATTGAAATATTTACACGTGCATTGGAATGGAGTAATCATGGTCAAACATGTGATCAAATAGAATGTGCAACATTATTAGCTACATTAATTTGTCAAAATCGTATTAAAGCTTATATATCTTATAAACATATGATAGTTGTATTAAGTAAAGAAGATCCATTTCCTAAAATACAACAGATTATTTAATATATTCTTGTCATAAAAATATTTTATTTGGAATACAATAGATCTTTAGGAAAAATTTCAT